CAGTGTTTCGATTTACATGTCAGTAGTGGGTGGTCAAGAACAGTTTATCATCCAACACTGTGTTCCACGGGAGATATCGCTTGTGTAAGATCATATGAGATCTCCCAGTAGATTTTGTACAATGCCCTGACAATGCTATGACGTCATCAACTTGCTATGACATCGCTGCACTGCAAGTCTAATGGCAGTACAGTGTTGAGAGATGTACATTTTTCTTTGAAAACTAATGAAGAATGATTTCTGATATTTGTAACTTTATCAAGTCGTGTTGATATAATTGATATCAGTAGACACTTGTGTGAGATTCTCTATATCTGGTGATGGCGGTAATTGTTTTCTAGTTCCTAATCCTCTAAAACTCACCGTTATCTTTACCAGAAATTCCTATCGACTCGTTTGATGTCAGTCTACTTTTATGTCAATATATTTTCAGGCACATGGTTGCTTTGACGACCTGTTGCGGCTGGATATGTCAGAACTATCGCCCAAGACCCTGCAAATTGTAAGTGCATGTAAAAATGTTGATAGGTGCAGTTTCAACATGTAGGGAAAGGAATATCTATGTACAATTTACTTTCTGTGTTCAGTACAAACATTATAATACATTTGTTTATTCTGGTCCAAATTCGATCATGTATTGAAGCCACGATAAAATATTCCCTCTGCGGTTTTTAACGACAGCAAAACTAAAATAAACCTTTTATTTCTGTAATAACCATGCCATAAAAAGAAAGGTCAAGGTAATACTTGCATTATATTGAATAGGGCGGGGCCGGGTCCAAATATTCTACCCGGGTACCCCACCCCCTATTACCCTACCCTACCCGGATACCCGTTATGTTAATTCCTGACATAAAATTTTAAGAAATGGCAATATATTCTTCAGCTCGGAGGCTAAAATATAGAATTTTTCAATATCCTAACCATGTATTATATTCAAAAGATGTGACTGTAATTATGTCTCAAGCTTCAAAGACATTACTGCCGTTTAGTTATGAAAGAATAACATTACACTGTTCAATCTATTAGGCGCATGATCATAACGGGTCCTGGTAATGAGATGGTACCCGGGCCCAAGTATTGAATTCCTAAACTATTCATATAGGGTATGAGAAGTATTTTTTGAAGATTCAAACTTATTTTTCCCAAATATTTCAGGTATCCGTGTTTGCAAATCGACTTGCAGGACCGCCGATTGGCTTCTCCGTTTATGGACTGTTTACTGTAGATGGGTCAACTGTGCTGACTGTAAGACTTTCCTTTTCATCGGGGTATTTTGATACATCACATTCGTAGTTACTTCTCTTTTGGATCACTTTGCACACACAAGCAGCGTGTAGTGTACATGTATAGATATAGTTTCTTGTTAAACATTGTACAGACTATCTCTGTGGACTATTGAGTGTTATTCAGAAGCATGGTCTCTGAATACCAAAACAGGTTAACAGTAGGGCTACGCAATATAACCGGTTTACCGGTATTTACCGGTTCAGACATGAAAACGATACGTATTGCGATACGCTGATCGAAAACCGTTTTTTTTATTTGCATTCGGAAAACTTCGTAACACTCGGGAATCTTCGGATATTTCCTTTTTTCATTTGTGCCAAATATTATTCACATTTTTATTTTTAATCATGAATAATAGTTGTTATTACAGCTTAATCAAGCATAGTGATTTTGCTGTGTATTTCCTCTATAAATCAAGCATTATCTCGATTGTAAGTAGCTTTTTGTTTAAAAATACTTCATGCAATATATTGCAATACATATCGCAATACATGCTTTCGCATCGCAATATATCGCAATATGAAAATTCTCTGCAATACCCACCCCTAGTTAACAGACGACTCTACTTGTTACCCTGCCCCGAGCAGGGCATTAGGGGATAAAGCAATGACCTGTTGGTTCTCTATGTTACTACTATATACATGACAGTCATCAGTTTGAACTGGTATACACTAGCATACACATGCCCACGCACATACGTACGAAGACACGTGCCAACACGCGATGAATTAGAGTTGTCCATCCTGCTTTCACTTCATCTCAAGAGATAGCCAAAGGAACGGTGTGAATCCTGCTGGGAAATCATGTAGGAAGCGAAAGCAATGACACTCCCCTTGATCCCTAGTAAGATGGTCAACATTTGGTTGTTAGTGGTTTCTAGACTGGCTTTAATCGGTAAGAATGAATATATTGAATAAACTGTTTTCTTATGTTAATCATGGTCAGGTTAATTTGATTTTAAACCTGTGATATACCACTTATTTTACTGTCCTTTGTCGACAGATATTTTAAAATGATTACCTTGTTTTCGTCGCTATATTGCTGTAATACTGCCGACGGGATGTAAACATTTAAATTCACTCACTCACTCACCCACTCACTCATCTCAAGAGAATATCACAGGAACGTTGTTGACTTCGGCTTCTTCCCACACTCAGATGGGCGAGATATTCTGCATATCTTCTACGTCTACATGAAACTTTTGATTAAATTGTTGTTCAAATAAATACAACTTTTTGACGTCGTCAAGTTTAACATTAACGCATTAAGCCCGAGAGCCCCATCACTACTCAACACCTGGAAGCCCTCGCTGATTGCCCACTCTCTGTGCCGAGACTAAATAGTGCTAGTCACACCTGATTTCCCTGGTAGGTTTCGGGGATCACAGGAAACTGTCTAGTCTTAAAAACAAGTCCTTATTGTTTAATTGTGTCGTAAAGATACATGTTGAAAGAAATCAGGTGTGAATACATGTCGTGTATTGCAAGCTTTATTTAATTTTATTGCAAGTTTCTCTTGTAGACCTTTTGTCGGCTTGTACATTTATATTTTATCACAATATGCATACACATGTATTCTTTGTATGTAACAGATGAGACACACGTTAACAAATTCTCTTTCTTATATCATTGTGTGAGGTTTATATTTACAAAACATCTATTACAATGACATACTGTTAAGAAAAATTTACTTTCATACTTTATAATCTTCGACGAAAATAGCGGTTTTGCCGATACATTTCTAGTGTTTACGAATTATTTTAATGAAAGTACTAAAACGCTAGTCTGTGACTAGCACAAAGCACATTCATGGCATTGCACTTTATTTCATACAGATTTAATGCAGAAAACATACGTGACCATACAAACATACATATACAAAATGTATACTACATATTCCTTGCATAGACATAAAACAAAGAGTCACGTGATAGGGCGTCATCAAATTTCCCGAATAGAACGTTCGGTATCTCAACTGTTCAATGTAGTGGCTGGTCATGTTATCTGTGACCAATCGTATCGTGAGATACCTGTCACAGAGGAAAGGACAGGTGATGCGGCGTGGGCGAAATTTCTGAGGAGCACGTTTGGTAACTCAGCAGCTTGGATAGAGAGGTTATTGGCTATATCCTTGACCAGTCGATATGCTGGGTTTCGGCTTTATCAACTCAAGCTATCATGTTTGAGTTGGTAACTGGTAACGATGTATGAAATATACAAATAAGACAACTAGGAGTAGATAGTCACTTTGGCGAGTTTATTTGTCCTCATTTTAGTGTTTTTCGATAAGTAAAACAAAGCGATTGAAATCCAACCAATGAGTAGAGGTAGTATTTATTTTCATATACATTTTATGCACACAACTAGTACATAAAACATAATGGTTTGCTGTACATGTAAATATAATGGTGACACTATACTGAATTATTATAGTGTATAAACTTGCAGTTGACACCCCCACCCCCAATATTTATGAAGGTGGGCGTGCCTATATCTTTACTGAATGCAAACGAGGTTCATAAAATTACAGATGTGCATGCATGTATAAACATCACAGATAGGGGCGTGACTCCATAAAGCAAGATGTACAATGATATAACACTCATCTGTTTATTTTACACTTGTCACGGGACAAACCTTTCAACAAGGACGTAACTACATATGCATTCTACCGGAGGCTGTTATTTCAAGGTCGAAAGAAGCGTTCAATTATCTCATTACTGTAATCTGCTTGAATGATTCTACGCATGTTTATCGATACCGTAACTGATAAACTATCCAGCTCTTATTGACGATGGATCAATAGAGACTGAGTTGATTGATACACGTGATAATTGCACCGGATTTGATAATTACACAGATCAAATACAAACGTTTTACAGAATGCTCATGTAAATTGCATAGAAAACTGACAATTCAAATCAACATGAAACTTCCAACAGCTTGAACAAAAATGCTTGAAATACCTTTGTATGGCTTACATGTAATAACTTACGATATTACTTCTGTCCATGTGTGACAATGTTTTGAATTACCAACTTACTGTCTTTTGTAACAAACATAGTAAAACATTTCATTGTTGTAATAACACTGACATGTATATATGTATTCGATGCAAAGGCGCGACTTGTCACTATATATTCGCTTAGGTAACATTACGAACTTTAGATTATGGAAAACAACTAGTTACAATTCACTAAACTTCAAATTAGTAAGTTCAATTATGTTTAATCTATTCGAGCTTGGATGTATAATGACTTGTGTTTATACATTATGTTTCAGTATATGAAAAATGAAAACGTATTGATGCCTAAAAAGTAAATTCAAACTATTCTATTGTGTTTGAATTCTTTGCATGTCCTTGAACTTTCGTATATTGTTTACTATTTGTTAGGTAGTTCAAGGAAATATAATTTTTAGTAACCTCTAAACCATTACATCTAATTCAATCAAGGTGCTTACGAAGTATTTTAGTATCCATTCCCAAGGAAGAGTACCAGGCACTTACCTCTGTAAAAACATCATAATCCCCTTTCTCGCCGACATGCGTTCATTTGCGAAACGCTGTACAAGCCTATGATAATGATTAGCAATTGTTATCAAAACACTTTAAATACTTCTTCTGATTGATACTAAAGGTGGGATCGCTCGTAAGAAAAGCTAACATTTGCTCAGTACTGCTAAATTTGTTGAAATAATAGGTACAGTGCGATTTTTAAAAGTACAACACACATGTGCGTCTCTCGTTGAATAAGAGGTGCTTTCTGTTGACGACTGTATGTGGCTCTCGCTGTGAGAAACTGCTAATTACCTGCCCCATAAACACGTCACTCTCTGTGAGGAGCTGATTGATTTGCCCCATATATGCGTCTCTCAGGCTTAATGAGTTAAGGACTTTATTAGAACATCTTTGCAACACTCATCCTGCCACATTAAGGACTTACTTGCACGTTTTGCCCGTGCTCTTGTTTCGGTTTTTCAAATGAAGACTTTTTGGGGTGTTTAGTATGGGTGCAAATGAATTCAAGTTACAGTGTCTTATTTGGATACGAAACAAAATTGTTTCTTTAATGCCAATTCGACCTGTGTAGGGTATTAGAAAGACACACCCATACATTCCTTGGTAGATCGGGATTGTTGGTGGCTGTATCCTCAAAGGGGATTAAAGTATCATAAAATTATTGTCCGAGAGGGTACGTAAGTCTCAAAAACTTCGCTTAACCATACTTTTTAATTATTATTTTTGTTATTTCAAATTTTGGCTAAATCTTCCATCGCTAGCGGCTGAAGGGATGGTGTAAATCCAACTAGGGTCCATGCAGGTAGCAAAGGCACTGTAAGTCCCCATGGTTCATAGTATGGTGATCTACCTTCAGTTGTTGGCGATCTATAGCCCGTGTTTTATATTGTATTGTTTTCTTTAATTAAAATGTTTTAGTTTTACATGCTAGTTTTATATTTATATTTGTGATACTCTAGTATTTTTACTGTCCATCGTCGACATGTTTTCGTCACGATATGGCTGAGATATTGCCAATGTGACGTTAAATATTAACTCACTCAATCACTCACTTGTCGGATCTGTGGATCCCAACATTTTCAGATCCCACGTTCACCATTGCAGAGATATCGACAGATACACCTCGGATAACGCAGCGTCGTTATAAGATGGATCTCGAAAAAACTTGAGCAAACATAACCTTGCACTATTTCTCACTTTCAAAAACCTTCAGTGACAGAGCTTCTTCTGGCTGCTTTTACAAGTGTCGTCTTTACCGGTTTTTGTAGATTATTGGAACCTTGCTGACGTATGCTGTTATCGTTCTTCAGCTGAAACCAGAAGATATCGCACCAGTTGTTGTCGATGCAGCCACTAGTTCTTTTCTAAATACATCAGTATAAGAGTATTAATTATTGATTAATATTGCAGCCTCTTTCAAGCAAAATTACTCAACGTTTATGTTACTCTTAGTTTCAATATTTAAAATTATCACTGGAACAGTTTGGTTTGCAATAGGTCAGAAAATCATAGAGTAATGATCTTCAATGATGGTATTTCATCATTTTTAAATGTGATTTTGATAAACGGAAAATATATAATCCTGTATATTATACTTGGTAAGCAATTTTAAGACGACCCATCGAACGTGACTGGATGGTTGCATTGTTACCATTTGACGCACGAAAGTCTCAGTCTTATGTTCTTCTGAATAGATGTATACTTTCAATGAATTTTAGTACGTGCATATTGTCGTCGGTTTTCCGTTTTATGTGCATGCTGTAATCTTTTGTCAACTCTGCTTCACTATTTGTGAACAACTCGGACATTATTTATCTCTTGGAGCTCCTTCTCTATTCACAATGCTCCATGAGAGGCGACTAACAGGATCGAGTTGTCTGGTTCGCTGACACATGTCATCGCATCCCACTTGTGTAGATCGATGTTAATGCTGTTGATCACTGGCTCGTCTAGTCCAGACTCGATTATTTACAGACCGCCGCCATATAGCTGGAATATTGCTGACTGCGGCGTTACTAAACCAACCAACCAGCACATTGCCCTGTTACACTTGCTTAATGTGCCTAAACGCGAATTATCCAAGTTAATTAGTGTTCCCATCCATCAACTACATTAAGGCCAGACAGACATTGTACAGTTCCCGGGGTCGAAATAAAATGCGTGTCTGCGTAAATTACGCATTGATAATTCAGATATACACATGAAAAGTCAAATCAGTGAGTGAAAGATACGCATGACTTCCTCAGAATACGAGCCAGATTCAAAATATTGTTTCAGTCCTACACATCCGATCTTAAGATCTCGAATAGTGCTGATTGTCTGTATTGAAGCGAATATTGTCGAGGTTTTCTGTTTGATCCCCGTTTAATATTTCTTATCCACGCTCGGCTCACAATTTGTTCAAAAAGCTCGCCCTTAAACAGCATTATTATCACAACGTTTTCGGTCCGTCTCAGTAATAATACAGTTTTAGGGCTACTGTAGATTAAGTGATAGAATTAAACAGTGAAGGAAAACATTTAATGCGCAATAGCTCAATGCGCATTGTCATTTATTTCCTGTCGACTGCAGTAAGTATGTCTAATCAAAAGAAGTTCCTTACATTTCTTGAAAGGAAAACTGTTTCAATCAGTAAGGAAATGTACTAAAACCACGCAACCTGTGAAATACTCCTCCTTTTATTTCCTTTGGTATTTTAATTCTCAATTTTAACTTTGGTGAGTGAAATACCCCGGGGTCAAAATAATTATCTGGAGCCTTGCAGTTCTGCCAGTTTTTCATTGCGTCCTAGTATCGGGGTACTTTGATTAGATATCAAACTCTGGTTTGTCTACTCCAGACTTCATTATCTAAGAGCTGCTGTAGTACATGTGTTGAACACCAAGACTTACACATTGTAAAAGGTTTGTGCCACTGGAAAACCATTCAGAGAGCACGAATCTGCGGTGCCATGGTAAGGTAATTAAAGTACTGTCTGAAATGCTAGAAAAATGCTTTTTGACTTATATTTATAATTCAGAGGTTTTACAGTTACTTTAATAACAAATATCACTTTACGAAACATCTACCTAATGTAGACCGAGGGAATACATTTTGAGACATGCCCTAAAATGCGTTTTTACTGATGAAAATACCACAAACTTAGAAAAATAAGGGGTAGTGGGACGTTACTTGATACAAACATTAACTGCCTCTGTTACGTCATCAGCATGCACGGTATCGCCAGGTGAAATTGACACCTGAGTACACGCTCGGGCGAGGGGTCATCTCAACAGATATTTTCTTCAAAATATTGAATATGTGTACGTATAGTATACGTATTGGTTATGTAAGGGATCATTTGTGTATGTGTGTTTGTTGTGAAATAAACATACGAATTACTGTACATTTGAAAGAATCCTATCACTTGTGTTATCTTATCGATTGATTGTAGAAATGTGCAACATTATAATAAATGTTTTGCATGTGAATAGTATATTTCATTGCAAAAATATGGATATAATTCTGTCAGTTTAATCTAATTGTGAACATTGGCCAAAGATTTAACGAAGTCACTGGTGTAGCTTCTTTAGAATATATATTCTTCTTTTCCTAAAGTTTGTAGACCGCCCGTCTAAGAACTCCCTTGTCAAAGTTGTCAAGGATGTTTTTTTACGTCCCGGTTTTTCTTTGAGATGGTCCCTGTCTTGTCTGATTTGTTTACAATATTGTTGGTAAGACACACCAACAGCTCTACAAGTTCTGTAACAAACCATTTCTATACTAATGAAAGGTTTACCTCTGTCTTTTTCAAGCACAAAAAACTTATAAACCTTTGCAAAAATCGTCTGCAAATAGTAACTATGTTGGCCATAGTGGACGCTGTGATAAATGTGCATGCATGACGGGAAACTTATTTATCAAGACTTCACAGTTATATTAATATTTCTTCAATAAAGAAACGATAATTAAGTAAAGTAACACAAACATTCAACATTTATTTGTTGAAGAAAAACGTTAATTTATATTTTTACACCACCTGTATTATTAGCATAAATGTAAAGACTATTTCAGATTTCTGTTGTTGAAGTCTGAAAAAATCTTAAGTTGTTGTTTGGGTGTCAAATTCTCTCCTGTGAACTGTCCTTTAAATGCATGGGAATGTTAAATCAATTGAAATAAAAATTAGGTACACTATAGGTGAGTTGATATATTGACAACATAATGCATTTATCACATTTCTAAAGATATTAAGGCTAAAAAGAATTTTCTAGCATTTCCGACAGTACATTAGTCTGCTAATTTGGTACAGAGGCAACCTTCTAGTATGTCAAATCACAAGGAAATGTATCTATAAACAATTAAATCGTTAAATTCAATTTGTTGTCTGTTACGAGGGTGTGTTCTTTGTAATTTGTAATTTGTATTATCATTGATTAAGTGATAGTTATTATGGGTCACAATGTTTAAAGTTTTGAGTGTGGGTTTTGGCTCGCATCTCACACCATATATGTTCTATGGCAGTAGTATTTGGTAGCGGCACGACTTCATTGATGAATTCTGATTAACATGTTCTGTACATAGATGTATTTTAATAATTGGTAGTTTAGATTAGTAACTTAGATTGTTAGTGGCTGTACCCTCAAAGGGGTTTGACGTAGTGTAAAATTATTGTCCTCCTGGGAGGGTACGTAAGTCCCAAAACTTTCAAAGTAGAATTTTCACATACCAAGTTTTTAAACGCAGTATTTTTGTTCATTTAGATTTCGGCTAAATTATCCTACAGTCACCAGCGGCTGAAGGGATAGTGTAAATCCAACTAGGGTCCATGCAGGTAGCAAAGGTACTGTAAGCCCCCATGGGCCCTAGTATGGTGACCTACTTTCAGTTGTTGGTGATCTATAGCGTATTTTTATATTGTGTTGTGTTCAAATGTTTTAGACCCTATTACTAGTTTTACATGTATATCTGTGATATTCTAGTTGTCTTACTGCCCTTCGTCGGCAGATTTTTATAATTTACATATATTTCATTCCAATATCAAGTGTTCTCGTCACGATATGGCTGAAATATTGCCGATGTGACGTTAAATATTAACTCACTCACTCACTTGTAGCAGCACGGTTGGGTTTTTTTTATGGCGCAGATTTCTGCCGGCTACACGAACCAGGGCTGAGATGTTTAGAGGTCGACTGTCCTCAATGACCATTCGAAATCAGTTGCGGGCTGCCAATCTCCATTCTCAACGTCTATATCGTTGGCCAATATTGACGCCGTTTCATCAACGCCAACGTCTGCTGTGGGCCCAACGTCACATCCGATGGACCCAAAGAGACTGGAATCGAGTCGTCTTTAGCGATGAATCCAGGTTTACCCTCAGATTTGCGGACGGCAGGCATAGAGTCTGGAGACGACGTCGTGAACGGTATGCCCAATGTTGTGTTCAGGAAGTGGACAGATTCGGGGGCGGACACTGCATGGTGTGGGGTGCTTTCTGTGGGAACAACCGTTCCCGACTTCTGGTCATCCGTGGAAACCTCACAGCTGCTGCCTACCGCGACCAGGTGCTCACCCCTGAACTCGTTCCTTTCATGGCGACTCATGGCCCAGATCTACAGTTCCAGCATGATAATGCTCGGCCGCATACCGTGATGTTGACACGAAATTTCCTTCAAAACGCTGGAATCAACGTCATGGACTGGCCATCGAGGTCCCCTAACCTTAATCCAATAGAGCAAGTTTGGGATGCACTTGGGAGAAGGCTTCGTGGTCTAAGGAACCAACCTCAGAATTTGCAGGAACTTGGCGCTGCCTTGCAAGAGCAATGGCGCAGAATCCCCAACCACGTGTTCACAAGCATGAGGCAGTCGATGTAGAGACGGTGTTTGGCAGTGGTGAATGCACGGGGCGGCCATATACGATATTGAACTGAAAAAGTTCGCATTTGTATTCTTGTGACTTGACATTCTGTATACCCATGTTTTGGAAAAGAGGTGTAGCCTAATGGACCTGATTATGGCACTGTCAGTGTATCGAGTCCATCACACAGATCTCAGCAATGAACCATTTTACCATCTCTTGTTCTTTTATAGTGCCCTGAAGAAAGAATGTGAAGTTTCTTTTTTGACTCAGTATATATAGATATAGATATATAGATATAGATATAGATAGATAGATATATATATATATATATCTGTAAGTTTATAACTTTAAGCCAATAGTAAACACCATCAGATGTAGTTTATCTGACTAAAAGTCTACGGGTTATGGATCCTAAGACTCAGAAGTGGTACAAAAATTCTCAGAAAGAAGACAGTCAGTAGCTGTAATCACAGTAATATACAAATATCATACATAATCTATCTGATTAAAATTGTACAGCTGTGTTTGAGCAACAAAGTTCAGTGATTGTACATTGTTTACATCGAGTAATAACTGTCGCTGAAAGCCAATACTAAATAACATCTATATGACACACTGATATAAACACTTTAGCTTTATCCATACAGTTTGATTGAATACTATCAACAAGAACGAGTGGGTGTATACTATGGAGAACAAACTTTTATGATGATTGTCATTTATATACATTACATGAGTAATTTCTATTGTAACAGCGTATCTATCACAATGGACTCTTGAATGTGCACCATTGAGGAGAAACGTTTTAATGCTTATGAAAGGCATCATTGTATGTGTATAACTCACAATGGCCTAATTGTATGGGAGTGATTTCTGCAACACGAATAACAATCTATACCAACAAATGCAATAGCCAACGCATAAAAACCAACTACAGAAGCCAGTCTCCGGTAAAAGCCGGTACCTAAATATCTATTGGATCATTTTAGCTTGATTGGTTGTGATATTTAATGAAATTACAGCTCCTGTTGACTACTGCTCGAAACACCTGCTGCCGCAGTTTCTATGCTCATTACAGTGGGATTATCAGAACTACTAATTGTGTTTGCACAAGGCCATTGGTATTTAGTGATCAGGCTATACTTACCGGCAGGCATGACTGTGTAAATATTCTGCTTAAGTAAATAATTTACACATAATACCCAGGTTAATGAAGTTTTCCATGAAAATTATTGAACGAATGCGGGTACATCCAACCACTTACAGTATAATGCATACCGTTTCATGATCAAGTAAGACTGAATGTTTTTACTAACATAAATCTTACACCCTGCTACTGGATCAATCAAAACCACGAATATCACTCAGTGACTATTATTGACATACCTTTCCATCGAGCGCATAACTATAGGCATGAAGATACAGTTTATTCTCGACGAAGAGGTGAAGATCTCTTTCAAAGCTCTGTCACTAGCTTTACAGGTCACTGGCATCTATGTGCCACCAGGAAGACGGCTGTTCCAGACCGTTGCCCAGTGGATATACAGTGTAACAGTCCAGGTATTAACATGGAGCAGTGTCTCACGATTCTACTTCATCTTTAAATCTGGAGAGAGATTTTCAGGAAGTTTGATGACCATTCTTTCCTATTTCATTTGTTTCCTTGGTTCTGCTTACCTGGCTACAACCGTTCTGTTCGCAAGCACTGAGCACATGGATCACTTCTTGAAAGAACTGTCGGACTATAAGAAACAGTTTGGAATTGCGTTCAGTTTGAAGAAACTGAAGGTGTGGGTAGTCATCTCCCTTTCCACAATTTGTATCTATGCAGTTGTCACAGTTACAAATACTGTACTTTTTGCCACCCTTTTCACAGAGTCTTTCGTCAATGAATTCAGTGTTCCTTTCAACAAAATGACAGGTATCTCAAGAATATTTGGAATGATTTTCGTTTGTGTAACAAACACGTTGAGCACAGTGCCATTCCTTATCGTTATGGTGTTCTTTTCATGGTGTTGTTACATTTTGAGGAAGGAATACGATGCGATCAACAAAGCCGTCATACAAATGGTGAAAGACGAAAATGCAGATATGAAATGCGAAGCCATCAGACAGCAACATATCATCTTAACGAGAATACTAGACAAGTCTAACTGCATGATAACGCACTTTCTGTTTTACTGCAACGTTGTGTTCATCCCTGTGATATGTTTCTTATTGTATGGTCTTGTGAGAGGAAGGCTCACCGTTGAGGAATTTTCGGCTGCACTTGCCGTAGCGACAACA